CCCCTGTCGAGCCTCGGAATGGCTCCCGATCCCCTGTCGAGCCTCTGAATGGCTCTCGATCCCCTGTCGAGCCTAGGAATGGCTCTCGAACCGGAGCCTCCACCTGTCATGTCTGCCTGCCAGCCCTTTGCCTTCCCCTGTCATCACCCCACATCCACTCCTTTGTCCTCCTCCTAAGCTATTGTGCTCACCTGTCTGCCCCTCGTTATCTGCCCTTTATTAGTTTCTGTCTCCTGTATTCTAGTTTGTCAGTTATTGTCAATGTCCATGTTCCTGTGAATGTTACCCTGTGTGATGTCTACCCTGTCTGGATCTCCTGTTGTTTCTTGATTAAATATCCGTTTATTCGTCATCTTCGTCGTCCTGCCTGATCTCTCAACACCCTGACCGTGACAACGGCTTTATTGAGGGAAAGAATTACAATCCCATGAAGCACTGCGAATAACATGATTAAATAAAAAATTATGCAGAAATAAAAAACTATTGATTTTAATATGCTTAATATAGTAACAATATGTTTATTTACAATAACAATATGTTAATATTAAGTTTTATAAAGAAACAATATGTTATTAAGTTCTCTTATGGGTGGAGATTTGTTTGCAAAATCATGGGTAATGTAGTTACAATGATTATTTCAAAAATAAGTTGAAATAATGTGGGCTGATGGCTTCAACAAAAGCATAACAATCTCGTAGCTCACAGTAGGACTTTATTTATGGGTTTATATAACGTAAAACTCAATTCCCCTTTGGAGAAGAGGATTTTTACTTTCCGGAACCCGAATGTTACACTCTATATGTAGTAAGCAACAGTGGCTCAACCGGCGGAAGTTTGGGGCAGTGCTATCTATTTAACTAACCGAGTTAGAGTAAGAGCATCCAGAGGAAACACTTTTTTTTTTTACCATAAGGTGCCGCATGTGGTTCAGAAATTACATACTTTCTTTAATGAAGGACATATTAATATTAAAAATCATCATATTTACCGCTCTACAATATGTCAGTCCAAAATTTGATCACATGCGGATGCGGAATCCTGACAATTTGTATTCTTTGAGAGCATAAAGACATTTCAAGAGTCAGCAGCACTTGAGACCACAGTCTAGGAAGCAGTCATCCACAGATGAGCGTCTCCTGTATCCGGAGTCAGCTCATCTTTGGCCTGCCTTGAGTGAAGGCTGCCAGGACTATCCCTCAGAGGACCCCGGTCTCATCAAAAACACCACAGAATGCATCAACCCCTCCTGTGCTGACTGACAGCTCTTTTATCCCTCATATCTCTGCAATGTAATCGGGCATGTCTGAACATGCACTCTGTAAATTCAGCTTTGATTTGGAGGCCCTCAAACAGCTGTGTATGTTTACATGACATACAAGCATTTGACTGGCACCTGGAAGAAGATGAAAAGTGACACACACATACGTGCGTGCGTGCGTGTGTTCAAGCAGCAGTTGGTGGGTGAACTGGATCTGTCTTTTTCACTCAAACTTAACAGTTACATCACAATGCAGAGAAAAAATGCAGGAACATACCATTGTGCTCCTGTGTTGCTGCTGCTACGAAAACATCTGCTACAGTGACACAGCAGAAAGATGTCAGGGAATTAAAATCACTAAAAATATGGGTTTATTAATAGTGACAGATTCAAAGCTGTCAAATTACATCAGAAGTTCATTTAAATTTCTAAACTTACCAAATATGGCAATCAGAAAAAAATAACGTGTATTTACCTGTCAATTCACAGGT